ATTTCCTATAGTTTCCACATAATTTAGAAAAGTGTAGGTGAACTAAAAAATGTAGTGGGATGATTGTTTTGTATACCTTTGGCTGTAAAGCCTGGCTCATTGGTGGCACCGGTCCAGTTCTACATATCTTTGGAGGAAAGAAAAAAAATCACTAAAAACTACTACTCAAAGTACCTGAAAAAGGTCTTCTAAACAAAAAATCCCAACTTTACAGTTTTGGATTTCTATACATCTCTGGATCTTTAAGCACTAAATAAAATATTATTTATTGTTATGGGTTGCGATAAGCCTTGGTGGAAACAGTAGGGCTACGTCTAGACTGGCATGATCTTCCGCAAATGCTTTTAATGGAAAAGTTTTTCCGTTAAAAGCATCTGCAGAAAAGAGCGTCTAGATTGGCATGGATGCTTTTGCACAAAAGTGCTTTTGCACAAAAGCATCCGTGGCCAATCTAGACGTGGTTTTGTGCAAAAAAGCCCCGATCGCCATTTTTGCCATTGGGGCTTTTTTGCACAAAACGGTTCTCAGTTGCAAAAGCATTTGCGCAAGAGGGCTTTTTCCCGAGCGGGAGAGTCATTGTATTTGCGCAAGAACACTGACAATCATACATTAGATCGTCAGTGTTCTTGTGCAAATTCAAGCAGCCAGTGTAGACAGCTGGGAAGTTTTTCTGCAAAAGCAGTTGCTTTTGCAGAAAAACTTGCCCGTCTAGATGCAGCTTAGGTCTAGAAGCCACCCTTTGTTATTAATAAATGTAAGAAACAATTAAGCCCCTTTATGGAACCACATACTAAAATAATAGCAGCCAAAACAGCCAAAATAGATGGAGCATTGGTCTCTTTTGGCCTTAAACTTTATGGGTATGTCTACACAGCTGAATTATTTTGGAGGAACTGACATTATTTCGAAATAACATAGTGTGCACCTACACTACAAGCCTTTATTTCGAAATAATGTTGAGCTGGAGGACTTCTTACTCTGACTCGTGGTAACCCTCATTTCATGAAGAGTAAGGGAAGTCAAGAGTGTTCTTCCTTTGACTTCCTACTGTGTAGACAGCACCAAAAGTCAAATTAAGCTATTTTGATTTCAGCTATGCAACTGACGTAGCTGAAGTTGCGTAGCTTAATTCAACTTTAGCCCTGCCGTGTAGATGTACCCAAAGGCTGTGTCTACATTGCAGGCTTCTTGCGCAAGAATGGTCCTTCATGCGCAAAAACTTGCCAGGTATCTACACTGCATGTGCGTTCTTGCGCAAGTAAATTTACAGTATAGCGTCGGAAAACAGGGCTTCTTGCGCGAGAGCTCTGATCAGGAAAAAACCTTCTTGCACAAGAACTGGCCTCCCAGGAAAAAAACCAAGTGGCCACTTGGACTCTCCGTACCCGCACTCACAGCTCTTTACTTCCTGGTTGCCAGACCCCACACGTGCCTGCAGACTCCACGCGGCAGCAGAAGCACAGCCAGCAGCGCCACCACACGGCTCTGCCCTGCTGCACCCATGAGCCCCAGGATGTCCGCTCCAGATATACCCTGAGAGCCTGCACCCCCCTCCCAGCAGCCACCCGAGGATTCCCAGTTGGCCCAGAGGGGCACGAAGCAATGTGCCCCTTGCTGGTCCCAGCCTGAGATTGAGGCTCTGTTGGACCTGTGGGCAGAGGAGGAAACCCTCCACGACCCCCGTGCCCATAGCCCCTCACATACCCCAACCCAAATTCCTGAACCCTCACATCCAGAAGTCTGTGGCTTTCTTAGTCCCCTAACCCTACATCTGACCCCAGCACTGCCCGGCCTGGTGCCCTCTCCCCAAGCCAGTGTCCCCTTATCCATCTTCTCCTGCATACAGATTTCAGCTGCATGGCATGGACAACCTGCAGAAGAAACACAGGGAATGCACCAAATGAGGCAGGGTAGGTGCATGAGCCCTTGGGTGCTGCCCGCCCCCCTCCGATGCCCTCTGTCCCCAAACACACCAGGGCCCCTTTGCCCCACAGCCCCTCCCCCCATCCCAGCAGGCCTATGTGAGGGAGGGATGGCACAAGCTCCTGGGTGATGGGGCTTCCCCCACTCTTCCCACCCCCCAGCTTGGAGCCTTCCCTTCCGCCGGGCAGGGAGTGCAGCACCCCCCTTGGACTTACCTGCATCACGACAGCACCGACTGTGGACCTGCCCACCCCGAACTGGTGTCCCACCGCGCGGGAGCTGTCCAGGGTGGCCAGCTTCCACAGGGCGCTGGCGACCCTCTTGTTCACCGGGATGGCGGGCCACAGCCGGGTGGTACGTCTCAGGAGCGAGCCAGGCACACAGCTCCAGGAACCTCTGCTTTCGCATTCTGAAGTGCTGGAGCCACTGCTGGTCGTCCCATTGTTCCAGGACCAACCGGTCCCACCAGTCGGTACTGGTGTCCAGTCTCCAATATCGCCTCTCCACTGTTGGGTGGGGATGCCACAGGGACGCCACCGCATCCGTGGAAAGGGAGTCCAGAGCGAGCTCAGTGTCGAGCTCCTGCAGGAGTAGTGCAGCAGCATGGAGCAGCAACTGCAGGCATCCAAAATGGCCGTGTGGGGCCAGAGCAGGCACAGGGCCACCCCTGGCTCCATGGCACAGCAAGGAGAAGGCAAAATGCACAAAAGGCACTAGGGCTCTAAGCTGTGGTGTCCAATAAGGCAGAGGACCACCACAACTACAGCTACAGCTTTCAGTCCCTACAAGAGGTCCCAAAGCACGCAGCAGGAGAGAAATGGCTGTTCAGGGAGATCCCTTTAAGTACGTGTCTCAAAGGAGCTCCAGCCCCCGCCCCTGGAAAGTCCTGGTGCCCTTTTGCCCTCTCCAAAGTAGTTCCGGGGGGGAAGTTTTTGCGCAAGAGCATCCCACCAGTGTGGATGCTCTCTTGTGCAAAAGCACATGACTTTTGCGATGCACTTTGACCCGTGTGGACGCTCTCTTGCACAAAACCGGTTTTGCACAAGACGCCTGCAGTGTAGACGTAGCCAAAGAGAACGACAAACAACAGGCACATGTCACCACACAAAACAAATGCATGTGGATTTTAGGGGTTGTTTGGTGAAGGTGTGTGAGTCTGTCTCTGCCGGAGAAGCATGAGAAGAAACAGCTGAGCGAGAAGCAGCATATTGCAAAGGACACAGCATGTGGCGCTGAGAAAAACTTAGAAGGGGGAGAGAGCTTTTAGGTTAGTTGCTGGTTGGAAAGTAGTTTGGAACTCTGTGCAAGGAAACTGTCTCCTGCTGTTTGATTCCTCTTGTGCTTAGCGAAACAGGACTTGAAACCTTTTTTATCACTAGACAAAGATACTCGACTCCAGCATCAATTTCTCCTCCTAACTTGAGCAACAGCTATGAGACATGTTCTTGAACATCTCCACACTTTATTCAACTCTTTCAAGGTACCATGCAGATTTGAACCTGAGACCTCGGAAGTGGAGTGTAGGAGCCTCTACCCTCTGAGCTAAAAGCTACCTGGGACCCAGCCCATGCTGTAGAGGATTTTTGATCTTAACTGCTGCTGTGGTCTTGGTACCACTTGCATTGCTCAGTAACCACACTAGCTGTGTGGGTTACACAGACATCTCTCATAGATCATGCCTATGTCAGTGTGTCCTCCCTCACTCTGTGTGTGAATTATAATTTAAACATAGATTGTTGTTTTTTTTAAGCATTTATGGTTAAAGGCATGATTTAAATTGAGAATTTTCAGATTATATCCCTGACATCACTCTGTGCCTAAGGAATGCAGAAATCAGAACAGTGATACCACCTTAAAAATCGGACTTGGTTACCTTAGGGGGTCTTCAGTCAACTGTGTGAGACACTATTATTGTGTATTTTTATCATGGACGAGGACCTTGTTGTGTGAGGTACTGTACAAACACAGAACAAAAGGAGAGTCACTGTCTGACAGAGCTTATAATCTAAGTAACTCTCCACTGTTAACTCTTCTAATTTGCTGATGTTATGGGTTTCAACACGGGAGCCTTTACACTGCCAAAGTGATAAAAAGAGCTGATGTTAAATGAGAATCAAGCATATGCATGTATAATCACTCAGACCTCTGTATCTTGATATAGAACATGTTTTAAAGAGGAAAATACCCTTGATATCATGCAGAACCGGAGAATACAATTATTGAAAAAGAAATTGATGCACAAATACTTCTTGTAGTGTGGAGAGAAGGAACTAGCTATCTCTCTGTTTTGACCTCAGGCAGTGTCTTTTTCTTCCTCCATCCCCTATCCCTGCTATCTGAATGCAAAGTTTTGCATAAAGCAATGAAAATATGCTGATTTGGAATTACATCTTACAAGAACTTTACAGCTGCGTCAAATTATCTTGGCATATATATTTTTGGGGGTATATATGAAAATTAAGTCTTTTATCATTTAATGCGATCATATGTTTTTTGAGGGAATTGAATTAGATAAATATTTACACAAAGAATTACTGTATCAAGATATAGAGGTGTGTATAAATATATTTCACCAAAGAATTTGCTGCAGAAGTCAGAAATATGGAGATTTCCCCAATCGTCTGTGTCTGTTACTTTAAGTTTTGTGTGAAGAATGTTGTCTTCAATGTCAAAATATCTATCAGAAGAAAGGCCTTTAGTAAGCAGGTGAAAACATGCTAGTTTTTTTTTAAGCTGAAATATCTGTGTGTAAGGATGGCTGAGGTTTACAATCACGATGGGTTTTATCAAATAATACAATCATGGGAGGGTGGAACATTTTTCAGCATTTCACATTTAACTGTATTTACATAGGAAATAACTGTGTGTGCCAAAAGATATCATCCTGAGGACTTAGCACTTGCAAACTAGTTCAGAATCAAAGGCAGATATTTGGGTTAATTGTCAGAACCTAACAGAAAACTCCCCGATTCAGGTGCATGTGAGGGAATTAGAAAAAACCCTTATTTTTAAAGCATATAGAAATTTGCCTATGATGTTTTTCAAATCACAAGAACTCTCCTCTTCCCCCCCTTTAGACTGTAATAGAAGTAGATTTCGAAGATACTTAACAGACCCATGTGTCACTCAGATGGCCGCTTCAACACAAGATAGAAGGTAGGATTGTAACAGAATCTCTTTCCACTGAGAATTTCGAACTCCTACTGTGTGTGTGTTTACTGCCCTCTAACAGATGAAATGTCAGATGTGCTCAAGAGTGTATGAGAGAAAAAGAGTGATACTAAACTGATAGTCTTCTGAAACATTCTCGATACAGATAATGTTGCTTCCTAACAGCCTACATGTGGTCTGAACTCTAATCTTACTACGGATAATACAGACACCCTGGCTATGTCTACACTGGTGTGTTCTTGCACAAGAACCCGTGGAGCGCCCACACTGCCTGCCCACTGTTGCACAAGAAGAGTTATAGTAGAACATGGGAAGAGAGAGCTTCTTGTGCAAGAGCTACACTGTTTTCTAACAGGTGTAAGCTCTCTTGTGCAGGAGCTCTTGCGCAAGAGTGCAGTGTGGACACTCGGCAGAGATTTCTTGCGCAAGAAAGCCCAATGGCTATAATGGCCATCAGAGCTTTCTTGTGCAAGAATGTGTCCACACTGCCATGAATGCTCTTGCACAAAAGCACATGGCCATGTGGACGTGTTCTTGTGCAAGATGTTCTTGCACAAGAACCCTCCAGTGTAGACATAGCCACATCGTAACAACATTACAAGTAATTAAAGTTTGGAGTATCTTGCCAAGGGGATGTGGTGGAGACTCTCTTGCTTGCTTTCTAGACATGCACTACTTCAAGGACATGTTGTTGGATTTGGAGTAGGCATCACTGATGCTAGGTCTACACTACAGCCCTTTTTCCGCAAAAACTTGCGGAGCATGCACACCTTAAGGCCGTGGTCACCAACAGGTCGATCGTGATCGACTGGTCGATCATGAGGTCTCGACCAGTTGATCGTGAGGCATCCTGCCCGGCCCCCTCATTTCCCCCCATCCCCGAGATTCTCCACTACCTACCTCAAGTGAAAATGGAGGTAGTGTCGGCTTCCCAGGGATGGACAGAAGTATTGCAGCTTACCGCCACTTCCGGCAATTCCGGAAGTGGCGCTAGCTACTCTGCTGGGCATACTGTGGGAGGGAGCCAAGCCCCATCTGGCCACAGCATCATAACACTCCTGCACTCCCCTTTCCCCCAGACCCTACATCTGAGCCTATCATACACTGGAACCCTCTGCCCTGAGCCCCTCACATACCCCAACCCAAATTCCTGAACCCTCACATCCAGAAGTCTGTGGCTTTCTTAGTACCCTAACCCTACATCTGACCCCAACACTGCCCGGCCTGGCGCCCTCTCCCCAAGCCAGTGTCCCCTTATCCACCTTCTCCTGCATCCAGATTTCCTCCCAGAGCTTGCACCTCTCACCCCTTCCCACACTCAAATCCCTAATTCCCACCCCAGAGCCTACATATCCTGTCTCAACCCACCAAGGTTACGGCTAGACTGCAAGAGTTTTTCAGGATTCCGGAGACATCCCAGAAAAACTCTTCTGCATCCAAGGACGCATTTGTTTTTCCACTTCTTTTAGTCGAAGAGCAAACATGATCTTTCTGTCACCTCTATATTCCTCTTTCCACAAGGAATAAGCGGGCTTCCAAAAGAAGGGTTTTTTTCTTACATTTGGTCCAGTCTAGACAGGCCAAATGTTGGGAAAACCTCTTCCTACTGAAGAATTGGTGAAAGAAGCAGCAGTATAAGGGTTGGAGATAGCAGGTGATGGAGAGGAGGAGAATAGAGAGGGCGGAGCTTCAAGGAAGGGGCGGAGCTTCAAGGAAGGGGCAGGGCGGTAGATCTTGGCTTGTTCTGTCATTTAAAAAGTGATCTTGGGTATGAAAAGGTTGGAGACCACTACCTTAAGGGCATTTTTGCGCAAAAAAAAAAAAAAAAATCAAAAGAGCAGAGGGGTTTTTGCGCAATAGGAATTTCTCTTTCTACAAGGAATAACTCCTTTTTGCGCAAGGGCTCTTGTGCAAAAAGGTGTGTGTGGATGTGGAACAGGGTTTTTTTGCACAAAGAGGCAATTGAAAAAAGCACAGGTGCCCCTGGTGGCCATTCTGTAAATAACAATCAGAGTTTCCTTTTGAGAGAGAGTCCTGGCAGTCTGGACTCTCTCTTTTGCAAAAGCGCATTGCTTTGCGATGTGGTTTTGCAGTGTGGACGCACTCTTTCGCAAGAAGTTTTTGCAGAAGATCTCTTTCGCAAAAAGCTTCTTGCCCAAGTAGCCTGCAGTCTAGACGTAGCCTGAGTGCAATGCTGTGGCTTGTAAAGGAGGTCAGATTAGATGATCACAGTGGTGCTTTAAAAATCTATACATTCTCTTTTTCAGCTCAAAAGAAGGGGACCTGTGTTTCTGGAATCCAGCAACTCTGACATCTTGTACAGCCTGGTAATCGATTTCCGTGTATGTGAAAACGATCAGCTTGCTGTTTCTGTGCGGAACTCCAGCAGAGGGTACTTTAATATCATTCTGTACCACAAAGGTCAGAGTAAACTCTACATGGTAGGTTCCCCCATAAATACCACTGTTGTGGTGGGGTGCAGAGCTTTGCAATGCACTGGGACAAAAACGCTGTTTGCACAAAGCTGGGCCCACAGCCCATAAATTCCAGGTTATTTCAGAAAAACAAGTTGTCCCATGGCACTTTAGAGACTACCATAAAATATACAATGTCTTGAGCTTTCGTGGGTAAAACTCACTTCATCAGATGAAGTGGAGTGGAAATAACAGAAACCAATATATGTATATATTTCGTCTTACCCACAAAAGCTCAAGACATTATATATTTTATGGTAGTCTCTAGGGTGCCCAAGGCTACTCATTATTTTTAAAGTTACAGACTAATATGGCCACCCCTCTGAGGTTATTTCAGGCCACTCTAGTTGATCATAATGCTCCCTTCTGACCTTAAAATCTCTGAGACTAGGAATAATGTAGTGGTTGCAAATAAAAGAGAAAAAGGGAGAGTTATCAATCTGTTTGCCATCCAACCACCCTCTCAGATGCACATTAACTGAAGAAACATCCTCCTGTTTCTTGCAGTTCTAGATGACAGTGTGCAAGGATGTTTATTTTAAACTCCAGAACTCCAGAGTGCCTAGGTATTTTGGATCATTTTGTAGGGGTTCTGGATTGCCTTGGGAATGCTTGCAGATATTCTCGATCGCCTTAGGAGTGTGTGTGCTTGCCTGCATACAGGGGGATTCTGGATCACTTTGGGCAGACTCCCTCTAGCATTCTGCCCAGCCTGGGGGTGTGTGTGTCTGTGTGTTTGTATACACGTATGTACAGGGTAGGGGTTCTGGGTCATCTTGGAAGTCTTTCAGTCTCCTTGGAGGAGCCAGTGTGCTAAGGGGTAGAGGGATTACAAAGTACTTGCCTTTAGAGTCCTCATATGCCTGCAGGTATTGCCCCACCCCGCCCAATTCAGGGCCAATTACGGCCCAATTCAGAGCAGGTTTAGTTTGTGCATTGATAAATTGCCATTAAATTGATGCAAGAGGGTGTAAGCTGTTAAAGTGTATGGCTGTGTGTACACTGGCATGAATTTCCGGAAATGCTTAAAATGGAATACTATTCCGTTTTCAGTTTTTCTGGAAAAGGAGCGTCTACATTGGCAGGCTGCTTTTCCGGAAAAGCCCTTTTTCCGGAAAAGCGTCTGTGGCCAATGTAGATGCGCTTTTCCGGAAAAGACTACTGGGCTGTCTACACTGGCCCTTTTCCGGAACAGTGTTCTGGAATAAGGACTTATGCCCGAGAGGCAGCAGAATAGTTTTTCCGGAATAGCGGCTGATTTTGTACAGTAGAGCATCGTTGCTTTTCCGGAAATTCAAGGGCCAGTGTAGACAGCTCACAGCTTATTCCGGAAAAGCGGCTGATTTTCCGGAATAAGTGGCCCAGTGTAGATACAGCCTATGTGTTGAGGAGGAATACGGCTGAGACTGTGGCAGGAAAAGTGTCCAGTAGGGGTAAGATAAGGCAGATGGCAGGACCTGGAAATACTCTAGTTATGTCCTTTTCCTGCTTTATGTGATTTCCACCTGAACTACGAGCAATTGTTGTGGAATTGGAGCCCGTTACTTCTATACTACGGCCTATAATATCCTAAGAAGTGGCCTGATTTTTAGAGATCCGATGCACTTGCAGCTTCTGTTAGCTTCAGTGTGCGCTGTGGATGCCACACACGTTGGAAGATCGGGCCGGTCGTATGTGTGAGATCACTCGCAGCAGGGCGAGGACAAACACTGACCAATGAAACAAAGGCATATTGAATCTCTGTCGCCAGCGCTCCTGCTGAGGTGCCCTGCACTCTGCAAGTGGCAGGGCTGGAATCAGGCGGCTGGTACACAGAGTCAGGTGCTCTGCAACTTGAGTCAAGAGCAGGAGCCTACACTTCATCCTTAGGGAGTGACATTAACACTCCATTGATGAAAGATGGGTCTGCTCCTGCCATTCTGTCTTGGGCAACCTTCCCCTCCTCCCATCCCTGCCAATGGGGATGACCTGTTGGGACACCTCTAAGTTCCTGCGTATTAGAAAAAGATATGAAGGCCACATCCTGCAAAGACTTACTACGGTGTGTCATGTTGACCGCCCTGGGGTGTCAAATAGAAGGCACATCACCTCAGATCCTCCATGGTAGATTGATTGATTGTGAGTTAGGCACCTAAATACCTTTGAGGATGTGAGCTTTAGTGCTTACTACCTGCCAGGGATGTAAAAGTGTAACCGTTTAAACGGTTACCCGATAAGCATCAGCTTATCGGTTTCTATCACGGTTGCATGCTGGCTCCCTGGGAGTGGGACCAGCAGCCCCTGCTGGCCCCTGCTCCCAAGAAAGCTTTGGTGTGGGCTCTGAAGTATAACTTTTATCTTGCAAAGCCTGCAGTGTAGCCGGCTCCCCGGGAGCGGGGCTGGCAGCCGGGAGCTGGTGCGTGCAGGCTCCCGGGGAGCTGGCTGCGTTGTGGGCTCTGCAGCATAAGGCTTATATATAGATAACCGTGAGGAATTTTAGCATTTCCGCAGTTCCATTTTTAAATGCAGTTTTACATCCCTGCTTCCTACTGGGGCCAGCTGTTTGCAGGATAAAGCTGTTAAATCAGACCTGTCCTCATGCTCTCCTTTGCTTCCCCCATTTTTTACTGCTGCCGTCCTCTCCTCTCCAGCCTCCTCTTCCATTTCCTTCCTCAGCAGGGTGGTCATGGATGGAATATTAATGAAGCGAAGGCACCTTTAAAACGACTTGACGTTTTTGCCCAGCTGGGTTTTCACTCGCTGGGAGTCAGCAGGCCCAGAGTTCCTCCCGCACTGCTGTTAGGTGAGTGTACGTCCATGGGTGTTAGAGGCGTTACTTCACATACCACAACTGAGAGCAGACTCGGGCCCACAGAGGTGGCGTAATTCCAAGCCCTTGGATACAAATGGGTGTGCCATACTGGGAGGGAGGTTGCTGCCGCTGAGATACATGGGGCAGTGTGGGCCAGTGGGACACTTGGGAACATTGCCCCAGGGAGAGTGTATGGGAGAGGACTGGCTGAAGGCATCTGGAGGAGGCTGGACATGCTGCTCCAGCACAGCTGCCTGAGACAGGCTGGGCATGCAGCGGCTGAGTAGGTGCCTGTGGGAGGCTCTTCTCCAGAGCGATGTCCCCTAGGAGAGCTCATAGTCTCCCATGCCCAGGCCTGTGCCCTAACCAACATACTCTTGACTATTCTTAGGCCTCTCTGTTTCATGATTTAATTAAAAAAAAAAGAAAAGAAAAAAGAAAGACAACCCCCCCCCTCCGCTCTCTGTTCCTTGTGCTGCTTTCTCTGTTATTTATTTATTTATTTATCTTGTGCCTCCTGACAGCGATGATGGAACTGTCATGCTTTAGTGGCCGCAGTCTCATGATCAGGCACCTGTTCTCCAGTGTAATCTCCTGACTCCTTCTATAGAGAGATTCTATATATAACCCCCAGCCAAACAAAATGTGAAGAAAAAAAAATCAAATCTAATTACGTGCCATTGATTTCTTTCCAAATTTGCTTCTAATACACTTTTTGACTCCTTGATGGGTTTTTTCCCCCCCTTCTCTTTTCCTTTCCCCTCTTTTCATTCATTCAACTGCATCCTCCTCTCAGGAAAATGAGTTGCTATGTTGCCTTGCATTGGACTTGCAGGACCACGGAGCATTTAGGGAACGTACAGACCGACAGATTTTTGCTTTTAATAGGAAATAGGGCTTTTCAGTGCATTGAGGCTCTTCAGAAGGCACAGGTAGGAGCTTGCAGCTTTCTGAATTATTTTCCTCCTTTTTAAACCTGACCTCTGCTTGTGGGGGGGGGTAGGGAAAACAGGAGCTGCTGACCATCAGCAGCTGTGCTGAGCTCTGGTTATCCAACAGAATAACTTACCATGCTCTTGGCGACAGTAGTGCTTTTAGCAATTGAAACCAGCAGTTGGTTATCCTGGGACTCAGGTGTTGCAGGTTGGGGGGCCAGTGCATGAGGGAAGACAGAATCTGATAAAATTCTACTGTGTCGTCCTTTGCAAATTATCAGCCCACTTTTGCTATCTTGGATCTCGGTTTGCCCTGCTTGTCTTTGTGCTTAGTGGTGTATGTATTTATTTATTTGATCCCCAAGCAATTGAAGGTGTTGCTCCAATAAAAGCATTGAGATTGAGAGAGTGAGAGAGCCCTGAGTTTGATAGCTGGTGAGTTTGCATTCTTGTGAGGCAGCTAGTGAGGGTCTGTGACAGTCTCTCATCTGATCAGTCTTTCAAACCAGAACTCTTGCAGCTTGCTACATGTGAAGGCGAATGCATTTCAAGGAGGAGGGGGGATGAGGACGGAAGGAGGATCAAGTATGTTGTCAATCTCTCAAGTCACTCATCAGGAGTATCAGAATCTGGCTAGCATATGTTTTAAGTGTTTAGTAACTGCTGTAATAAAAAGAGAGCAGAGACGGGAGTAAATATTTGACTAGCTTAAGAGGGATACAATATATTTTCCCTTGCCTTTCAATTGTAATTGTGCAAAAAGAGTAGTTGGGATGCTGATATAATCATAGAATCAAAGGGTCAGAAGAAACCTCAGGAAGTCGAGTCCAACCTCATGTTAAAAGCAGGACCAATCCCAACTAAATCATCCCAGGCAGGGCTTTGTCAAGCCGGGACTTAAAAACCTCTAGGGATGGTCCCAGTGCTTCCCCACCCTCCTGGTGAAATAGTTTTTCCTAATAGCCAACCTAGTCTTGGATGTTGATACAGTCTGTGTCAGGGTGGTTATTACTTGACGCTGAACACACCAGGGGATATTGATTTTTGGCAGAGGGTGGGTGGTCTTCTGGCTACAGACCATGACTGGGAGTCAGAAAGCATCTGTGTTCTATTCACAACCCTGCTTAGGACTTCCACTCTGTGCTCCTATCACGGATGTTAGCAAAGTAGGCTAAGATCACGGA